AAGTAAGAGACTAATACCGCTAGTCACAATACAAAATTTTCATATGCCTACACATTAAACACTAACATTTGAACTTCACATGGAGAAATACAATTACAATATAAAGATATAAACACAAATAAATAATAAATAAATAAAAAGAAGCCCTCAGATCTCATAGCTTCATACAAATCATTGACGGTAAACTAGTGGCATAAATCAAAAGCCTTTACACATCACCATAAAGAAATACCCGTATGTGTGTGTGCGTGTGTATATATATAGAGAGAGAGAGAAAGAGGGAAAAAAACAGATGGTGGTCGTGGATGTTAGATATTTCTCTGGTGATGCATAAAGGCAAGTGACAAATAAACCATGAAACCGCTCAATATTGAAATTTTCCATCATCGGGCGATTACAGATCTCATATACATGTGTTTATTTATATATGTGTGTGTGTGAGTGTGTGTGTAAATGCATAGAATGAAGTTTAGGAGGATACATAATGTGATTGGAAGAGCTCTGACTCTCTGAGTGATGAGAACAGCTAGTAGAATTAGACGATGAGTGACGTCACAGTTCACAGATCGACACTTCGGCAGATGTGTGAGAGAGAGTAACTAGGGCAATGGCAACGAAGATGAGAGGAGTATATGTTGAGATGATAATGTGTTGGGCTTTTGTTGGGCCAAGGTCCATGAAAACATTTTACGATCATGGGCCTCTAAAAACAAACAAAAAATAATTTTTTATTTTTTATTTTTTTTCAAATTTTGGATGTTTGGTTAATGGGTTAGTAGGAAAAAGAAAATTTTTTAGAGAAATTTATTTTTCATATCCACTTAACTTTCTCATAAATTTTCCCTACAAAAAACATAAAAAAATTCAGTTTGCTATTCATTTTGTCTGAAGATTTCAATTAAAGAATTACTGTTATTGTTAATTTGCCGAATGTATTCTAATTGTTGTTTTCAATTTGTCTCATAAAAGTGATTTTCTTTATAGGGAAAAGTGAAAAGATTCTGCCACGGCATATAGGGTTCAAGTGTCCCCAAACACAAAGTAATTGTGTGAATTATTTGGTGGAAAAAAATATATGTTTTAAAAAAACAATTTTTTTTATTAATTAAGGGTTTAGTTATATGAATAGTTTGATTTTTGTATTGTCAAAGCATAAAAGTACACATTTATTTTAATAGGCATACCCCAAGTCATTACATTATTTAATAGGCATATTTCACGTGTAATAATTGGGTATATATATAAAAATCATTTAATAGGCATAATCCAAGCAAGAGGAGTTTAGTATCAGAGATTCAGAGCTAGACTAAAAAAATCATCTATCATCTCAGATTGTTTTCTCCTTTATTTAATCAAACCAAACCCTATACAAGATTTCTATTTTCTCCAGCGATAGTAAACTTGTATATAAAAGCAGTTGTATTTAAACATTTGTATTTAATTTCCTCCAACATCTTAAATTATCATACAACCAAAAGAAATAATTGATAGTAGGAATGGCTTCTTTCTTTATAATAGAATTCAGTTTGTTATTTAGCTCATTTTATATACCTTAACAATGTGGAAAAATAATAATAATAATAATAATAATAATAATAATCATGAGATTCGTGGTAAATGTGTCACAGATTTTGTTCATCACAAATTATATGTCTATCATTCATGCATGAGATTCAGGATAAATGTGTGTCCAATTTTGTTCCATTACAAATTTCATTCATGAAGCTATTGTGACTTCAAATTTTAAGCCTACAGTGAAAACAATTTATTTGATGGATAGAATTGCTACGGAGTTGATACTTTGATAAACATTTTCTTTTATTGTATTAATGATGAGATCAAATTAGTGAGTTTTTTTCTAAGCATAATATATTGTTTTTTATATATCACGTGTTGAATTAAATTTGGAAAAAAATGAAAAAAATACAACTGCAAGGACAAAATTATTATTTGAGTAGTATAAGAGCTTTCCACAAATATTTTATCAGATAAAAAAACTCTTCTGGCATTAAAAGCTCTTTCAAAATACAATTTTCAAACAATACCACACAAACTAGATAAATGTGACCGCTCAGCAGAAGCAAAAACTATGCCAAACGGGCCATTCCTATTCCTATCCCATGTTTTCTTATCCTTCCAAAGTTTGGCGGAAGAGAGGAAGGGAAAGAAAAAATAACTACTTTATAAATATGTAATATCAATTTTAACCTCCAATTATTTAAAAAATACTTGTTCAATCTTACTGAGATTCTCTGGTACATTAACAACAAACAAAAGGGGATGATATATTGGTAAAAAAATATAAAAACTATCATTCCCTTGCTTCCAACCAAACAGAAAAAAAAGAGTCATGAGTTCATATTTTCTATTATACATTCTATTCAACCAAACAAAAAGCAAGAGAAACATCTTTCCTTCTCTAGGGATGCCTTATCGATCAATTTCTCCTTCTCTCCCTTCCAATTCATTTTTTTTATCTGCTTCCATTCATTTTTCTATCCCTCCAACCAAACCGAGCATAAGACTCAACATCTCAAAATAGGATAACACCACCAATGCACCATCAAACAAAGGAATCCAAAGAAATAATAACAAAACTGATCCCATCATCACAAGCATTTTATTCATTTTAATTCTCAGTTCTTCATGTGAACAAGTATTTATTTATTCATATACAAAAGTCAATATCCTTCCTAAACCTTAAACATATATTTTAAAAAGAAAAATTGATCAAGATTGCATTGATCAGATGTATGATTTCTATATAAAACATGAAATCCTAAGCCACTTTGGCAGTCCATGGTATGAATCATCTTTGGAAATCTTCTTGGATTAGGTCTGCAGATCCTCCAGCATTATTATTGTTATCTCCACAAAAGCTGATTTAGTGGCCACTATGCTAGTTCAATTGCTCCAGCATTCTTGTACAAACTATTTAATTACTCCAGCATCATTTTTTAATGTCTAGTGCCCCACTATAGTAGTATCTCAATGTACCACATTCAGGTTTTTACATCTGCCTCTATCTTTGGAAAATCTTCTTAGATTAAGTCTCTAAAAGCCACTTTGCAACCACTCACAAGGTGGGTTCATGCTCACTTGGTTGTCCCATGTGGAGACAAGTGACCAAGTAGATTTATTAAGGATTTATTATTATATTCACTTATTTTATGGTTTACCATGTTTAATCTTAATGTATACACACATTGTTATATGTGTGTGTGTGTTCTTTTTTATGCATTCAAAGTGAAAACAGTGGTAAAAGATTTTTGAAATGCCAGTCTAGTTTATAATTAATTCCTATCAAGTTTGGCCATTCTTATCATTTGCCCACCAATCATAGTTAAGCTAGGTAGAGAGAAGGTTAGCATTGGTTTATAAATTAATGCAGAGTTGATTCATGGATGATCTAAGCAATGATGTTAATTAACAACTAAATTAACAAATCATATTTGGAACAAATATATATATATGTATGTGTGTGTAACTGTGTGTATATATTACTTGTCCCTCTCGTCCCTGCCTTTCTAGTTGATCAAGAAGCAAAATGGACAATAAATGCTTCATTTAGTACAACATCTAGTGGATTGAGATGAGTACTTTGAAAAACAGAAGAGAAGTGTAAATTTTGCATCATATACTACTATGGTGCACTATATCATTGGGGTTCGCAGATTTTACCCTATGTTTAGCTACCTAAAGAGAGAGGGTTGGTATGACTATATGCCGCCATGAAAATCCAAGAAGAGCTTTCAACTGAAGTGGAGCTTTGCATGCACTTCAGTTGAGGATGGCTACCTGTGCTCACTTCTCGAAGTCTGTCATTTCGGTTTTAACCCCCCTGCATCCACCGTTGGCACTTCTCTACCTGCCACTGATGCAGCTCGTAAGACAACTGCGAAATGGTAGCTAGCATTGCTGAGGTTAAGGTTGGCTTGGGGTTTCATCGATCTTCCTTTTTCTTTTAATATAACGGAGTTCCAACCTGATGACGATTTTTAGTTGGATGTAAGGTAAATTCCGAATATGTGCAATTACTTTGATTTTGTTGGTCCTTATTTCAGCAAACGTATGGAGGAGTGTTGAATTGCTTTGGAAAGTTTGATTTGAAACTTCACATGGCATTACTTTTGTTCTATATTGTGCAAACACAATTTAGATACCTTGGAAACCTTTTTGTGTGAAGTTTTTTTGGTCATTTTCATTTATAGCTCATGGATTGAAGTGTTCCACAAATAAAGTTTTGTTCAAGGTCCTTGTCTTCCAAAGAATGAAGATATGTAATGCAGGGGTTCTCAAGTGTATTGAATTCTTTTCCCTTTTTGGTCATGTGATTGGTGGGCAATTGTACTGTTTTTCTGGTCATCCATAACGTATAAGCACTGTGATTAACACACTCTCTACCATGTGTGTGTCTATATGTATGTGTGTATGTAGTAATTATGTCTATTGTGGTATGCATTATGTGGAAATGTGGAACCCTAATATTCAACTTCCATCTCATTTCTGTGCATCTGGTTAGTTTGCTATTAATTTGTGGGTAACTAGACTCAAGATGTAATAACATCTTAGTATAAATATGCAGCCCTACCAATTTATAGCTACAACAACTTATAATGTGCCATTTAGGTTCTAAAATCTAAATCATGAAATTCCTAATGTTTCAAGAGAATATATTGTTAGGATTTCACTCTTCTTTTTGTTGTTGCAACGATCAACGATGAATAGAAGTTTGGAATCTGAAAGTCGGACAACTTTGACTGATTTATATGAGTAAGAGTCAACTAATTTATATGAGTAGGAGTCGACGTGTCATAATGCCATTAATATCCCTAACATCATGATGATATATATATATCAACCTCTACTTACATACAATTAGTCGAATTTGTCCGACTGTCGAACTCCTATCACTACTCTAAATAAAAACTGCAGTTACTCTTGGATATGCTATATCATATCTAGAAAAGTTATTTCTTCACCTCCCTATTGCTAGAATATGTTTAAAATCACATCTTCATTATGTTACACTGTTTACATTAAAGGCAAATAAAGCTGTTACACAACCTCCTTTGTCTGAAGTTTAAACTGTTCCTTTCAGAGCATAAAGAACAACAATTAAAGATCAACAACAGAAAAAATGGTACAATTGGTGTTGGCAGGAAAGTGAAAGAAGAAGACAATCCCCCTCCGAACATGGACATCATCCTGTACTTACCAGACTGGCAACTGTTATACACTGCCCACAATGAGTTCTACACAAACGCATACAATCCCAGCCTGTGCAACTCTAGAAAAAGGAAATCTCTATTCGCTACCGATCTTTTTGCCCCCCTGATTCCTCTATTCACACGCCAATTTAGTGTCGAAGCTGCTCAAACAGATGGCGAAAGCTTGAAATGCAGAAAGAGGATATCGATAGTCCATGGTAAACATATCCTTGCCAACCTTACCAAACTGCAAGATGATCTTGTCATGGTCAGATTGGGCAGGCTGCAGTGGTGTTGGTGCACCGGCAGCAGGCTGTGTAGCAGCAATCAGCTGGAAATTCTTCACAGAGGCCACAGTAACCCTCCCCCGGAAGTTAAGGCACCAGCATTGCAACTGCTCGTGCCATCTTGGCGCCTTATTCCGGAGAACTAGAGGTCTGCTTTTTCCTTCATCATCTTCATCACGCAGGCCAATAATGTCGGAAAACCGAGAGCTACTGAACTCGATAGAGTTGTCAATTGATTTCGAGAAGGAGATACTCCTGAATGAATCTTCAAGGGAGCGAGACAGTAACTCGGGCTGGCCAGGAACAGTGCCACCTGGCTCAAGGGCAGAGACAGGGATTGAGTGCATGACACAGTTCATCCTGCGGGGTCCCCTAGTGCCTAGCACATTAAGCTCATATGTTACCTGGGCAACGTTGTAGCTGCCAGTAGGGACCTTTGGTGAAACTTTTCTCGAGTGGAACCTACGGCTTGTACAGGCTGGTGGGGAAAGATTAGCATGATTGTATGGAGGCTGTGTGTCATAAATCACGAATTTTGTACCAAGGAAATTCGACCTGAAAAAAGAATGAAGAATGGATCTCAGTGCAATATATGAAACAGATGTACAATGAACAATAAAACATAATTAAATCAATGTTTTTCCCTTGGATAAGTTGTAACAGGATTAAAATCGTGCTGAAGATAATTTTGAGGATTCCTTGTGCGGTTGTGCCACAAGACAAATTTTTATAATATAATATTATCTATAATGATCAATACTGTTTGATAATTTTTAGAGAATATAATAAGTACTCAATACAATTGTTTTCCTGAATCATATAGTATGCAGAACAATCAAAGAGCATATAAAAAAAATGAAAAAAAAAAAAAATTGTTAAAAAAAATTGCATGCTCTTTGATAAAATGCAGTAACTTTATTAAATTCTTTCTTCAAAATATTTAAACATGAGACCCCAAATTCAATATGTAAATGATAATGGTTTGCATAATCAGATTATACTCGATATATCATTAAGGTTATGTCCTAAGCTACAAAATCAGAGCTAAACTTTATAGCTTTTACAGTCTGTATAGATAGAGAGAGCTTGGCATCTCAAGTGACAAATTCTTCGACCTGAAGAATTCCAATACCAGCTCCAAATCCAAGGAAGACTTCGAGAGAGAGTAATTTCTGTATTCTTAAGTTGTTACTACTAAAGATATTCACAGAAATAATGATAGGGCCACAGCAAAATATTAAAGTGAAGTTCTTAATGCATTCTCCTACCTCAGTTTTCCAATGTAAGTGCTGCTTGATCTTGATATGTTATCTGCATCCATGGAAATCACATATTCTGTGCAAGTACTTCTCCGAATCCGTTTTGCAGAAAGAAGAAATTTACCATTTTCAACAAGCAAGGCTGCACAAAGCAAAAAGTATAAACCACAACAGATATTAGAAAAATCTGTTTAGAGTAAGTTAAACAAGGTAGCACATTGACAGCAAGAATACTGAACCTATTGAGTTTTTGTAATATTGATCTGAAATCATTGGATTAATTTTATCACTTTGCTTGAACTAACGAGGATTCAAGGTTTTTAAACTGTCACCCTAGCTGCAGTGTCTGTTTATTTAGTCGATTTGAAGGTTGGGTTCAGATTACTTGGTCAATTTACTAGCTTTTCAATTGTTTAAAGATAATTTACATGAATTGAATTAATAAAGGAAATTATCATTTGTATAAGATATCAGCCACATTAATACTACAACCAGCCCAAAGGTCGATTGCAGAAGAGACATTCGCTGATTAAAGCAGTTAATAAAATAGCTCAACTAAAGTATTGGTGGTGCAACTAAAGTATGTTAAGAGTAAGTTAATTCACAGGGAACTGTTGGGAAAACCGTAAACTAATACAGAGCAATATATACGCAATCCCAGCGGGCCAGCATGGGTGACACAACTAAAGTTGGTTTTGCAAAGCAAACTAGGTGGAGTTTGCTGAACGTACTTAACAATAACTACAATAGAGTGGTCTATGTTCACCTAAGCATTTCCACAGAATTGTCTTCAGTATATACATCCAGCTAGCTGGAATCCCAACTTCTCACACAGCCACCGATATTGGCCTCCAGGAACAAGGTTTCAAATAAATCCAGAAGCGATGTGGTTTTATCCTATGTAACATTGACTCTTCAAAGTAGGTGAAGTACCTATGTTGGACACATAATACTTGGACATCGGTATGGAATATGTGTCCCACACTTTTGGTTGGACATGCACCTACAAATCATATCCTATAATTCAATTTTATTATATTATTACTTCAAAATGAGTGAAATGCCTATATTGACCACTATGTTACAAAAAGGCATTACGTTACTCTAGAAAATAAAATAAATAATATGAATAATTAGCAGTGTCCTTGTATCATTCTATTTGGGGATTTGATATGTCCGACGCGTGGATACATAACCGCATCCGACACACGTACCCAAGCCATGTAACATAGGTTTCATCATAACCATGCACATTAGAAGTAGGTATTCAGCGTCTTAGTACTACTACAAAGGCACTGGTTTTACTAGCATTCAGATGGAGTTGCAGACTATCTATAAATTGAACCAAATGCCAAACGGATGGGATCATTGCAACTCATTGAGCACAAAGAGTTGTGATTTTAAGGTCAATACTCAATACAGACCACAAAACTTTGATCTTGGCTAGCATTTGTGTAGTAAATTAATAATCTAAACTGGAAAGTAAATACCTGGACCAAAAAAAAAAAAAAAAAACAACAGGGAGAGAAGAGTGCATGAGCAAGTTATTTCAGGATTCCTTTATAGTGGACAAGAACAAAAATGTTGGGATCATGTCCAATACAGGGAGCAAAAAGTGCACGAACAAGTCCCACTAGAGATTCAGCAAGCATCATGTCTCCTAGCAGACCTAGCTTGTCATACATATTAGAGAAAGGAACTCCTAGTCTTGGGGTAAATCAAGGAGGGTAAAATTTGTCTATGTTTTAGATTTAATACTTGAGGCCATAAAGATGCATGACACTATGACATTACATACATACTGTGCCAGTATTGTATTAGAAAATTTACTTAAAAGATCCAATATAATTATATAAGTAAAGAAAATATAACAGCATCATTAAAGCAAACGATTGTGCTGTTTGCCAAATCAAAACTATCAGTAAAATTAAAAGGCATTGGAGTAGCTAGTTACACTCAATTTATGATCACTATCATCCCTGCATGGAAGCTCATATAGAACTTGATAAAGACAAAAATATTAGTAGAAATTAGAGTGGTTGCAACTGTAAGAATGCTTACCAGGGCTGAGGCAAAGGAAAAGACGGTAAGTTAAATTAGCCTTGTCTCTCTTAATGTAGCACTGAATGGTTCCATCCCGAGGCCCCGGCTGTAGAAGACAAATAAATCAAAGAAATGTCAACTGCCACAGCTATCATAAAGAATCACTTCATTTTGCTGAAAACTGTGTATTTGATGTAAATAATTGCAAGAATGACACTGAGATCTGTAATTTGTTGGGAGAATATGGGAAGTAAAGTCTGGGCAATAATTAACGCAAGACAGAAGAGCCAAAAGACCCACCTGCTTTAGGGAGACTGGAAAGGTAAGCTTCCCCGAAAACTCTGGACTTTTGACAATTTCTTTGCACATTTCCCTCCAAGACCTGCAAACGGAAGCACATGCAACAACATGCTTGCGGGCAGGCCAGGTAATCTCACTTGCCTCCAACCTCTTAATTACATCACAAAGTAGCTCCGGTGGGAGGCTAGCCCAAGGGCTATTCTGGATGACCAAAGGCTGGTCATGCAACTCATGGACTGCACTATGAGATTTCCCCCTGTGATGACCAGGCAGCCTCACCTCAAAGTTCCGTCTTGATAGGCTCCCAAAACCATCCCTTACATCGCGAACTATACTGCGGAATGACATTTACACCAATATGTCGACACCCACCGGAATGTCTATGTAAATCTTTTCCTACTAGGGTTGGAAAAATTATATTCCAAAGTTTCCACTTAGTCTGAATGGTAGACACAAATCGGCGACATTTGGGCACACATACAACTGCAAAGCAATGAATGTTTTTTTAGAATTTCTATAAAGCTTATTAACCAAGAAAGAAAAAACAATAATAGAGACAGCACAAAGCAAGAAAAGAATATTCCTAGGAAGCCTCACATGGACTTAAAGCAGCCTGAAAAACCAGACTTGAATCAGAAAAACACACTTAAACTTCATTTTGAAACCATAAATGCTATTAATTTAATAATACTTCATCTTTCACAAAAAATACTAAAAATGGAAAAGACAACTAACATTACACAAAACAAAAATAAAATAGACAACCAAAATGACACAAAACAAAAGTAAAAGAGACAACTAACATGACACAAAACAAAAGTAAAAGATAGAACAAACCATGAATCACTGCTAGTAAAAACTAAAAAGACTAACTGCGTCAAATTTTGTTAGAGCCAAGAGCATCCACAGAAACATAAATAAATAAATAGATTACAAATCTAGCAAGCAACACATCCACAAGACAAAGATAGATCAGGAAAACAACATTAGGATTTATATAAATCAAATAATAAGGATACCCAATTGAGGTTTCATGTGCACCAAATTAAAGCGAAATGTATGTGACTGAAGATCAGTGAAACATACAAAAATATAGAAACTTCCCACAAGAACATTAATCAACAACAACTAGCCTAACCTCACAAAACAACCAAATGTCCATGATTCACAAGCAAACCATACAACAAAAAACACGAGAGAATACCCAAATAATAAACTTTCCACAGGATTGTCAAAACAAGACATAGTCTAACCTCATAAAACAACCCAAAAGTCCATGTCTTTCTCAATTAGACCATACGGCGTATCCATGATCAAGCTAAAATTAACAGTCACTTTTTTCTCTATAATCACAAGAAAATGAAAGAAGGAAAGAAACCCAGATTATTCTTCACATGTTTGACTAAACCATATAAAACCAAATGAAATTAAAAATGCTAAATGTGAATGCTTCTAACCCAACAAATCAACTGGAAAAAACTAAGGAATAACTAAAAAGCCTGTAATTTTTTAAAAATTTCTGGGTGAGCTGTTGAGAATTTTAGAGGACAAAACGAAAGAAACACATATTATTTTCACCAGGTTTGACTAAACCATACAAAATCAAATGAGAAAAAATATATATATACATATATAGTAGCTAAATGTGAATGCTTCTATCCCTCTAAATCAGCTGAACGAAACCAAGAAAGAACTAAAAAGCCTCTAATTTTTAAAAATTTCTGGGTGAGCTGTTGAGAATTTTAAGGACAAAATATGAATTCAGGCAATTAGAGGGATAAAGTGAAGATGTTGGGAAGCTCCGTAGAGATTCAACCGTTAAAACGTACAAATAAAAAAAAAAAATTATATATATATATATATACCTATATACGCATACATATACAGAAAGTAAGCATAAAAATTCAGTGGAAAAGAGAGAGGTCTTGAGAGAGATCGGAGGTAAGCGCACCTTCTCTTTGGCTCTAGATTATGGTCAGATCCTTCGCTTTACCACGCGGTTTCTCTCTCTAAAGGCGCGCACTCTCTCTCTCTCTCTCTCTCTAAGTTCTGAAGTCTTCCGCCTCTTTCAATTCACAGTGTCGTCTATCTTGTATTATTAAATCACTTCCGCAGTAAGTTCCACGGACAAATTTGAAAAGGTCCTACGTCGTTTCTTTAATTACAATTAATTAGTTTAATTAAATTCCAAATAAAAAATAATTAGACCATATTAAATTACAGATTTACCCTCGTATTGTTTTGTTGCTTCGCCCTTTGTAATTGGCTCAGTATAAAGAATAGGGCCACTACACAACGGGTGAGCTCCACATGGACCCATGGGCATTCTAGAATTTTAAGTTCCGACAAGTTTTATAGCAAATTGAGCTATTGTTTCTTAAAGTTTTTTACTCTTAGATCATTCATTAGGTAAGTTTTATCAGTGCATTCAATAATTAAAATGCTCGAAATAATTAAGGTATTCTAAAATTTTATGCTCCAGCTAACCATGCCAAGTATTCTGAGAGTGAATTTAACAAACGAGTCTTAAATTAGTAAATTCCAAACTGTTTATAACTATCTAAATTCATTTGTAACTGTTTATAACTATCTAAATTCATTTGTAGTTGTATTTGCCACTCATTCCCGCCCAAACCTTATTAGGCACCCCAAAACTATCCCAAAGATGATGGGACTGGATGGTTAGGTCATTTTCTTCCCATCCTTGTATGCTTCCGGGAAAGAGTTTGTTTGGTTGAGTAGTAAGAGAAATAAAGTGATGACTTCTTTTTCAATATAACTACTTTACCTTTCACGGTATGAAATTAAGGAAGACTATGGTGATAATGACACTTTTTTTTGGACACACTAATATTTTTCAATACAAGGCCAGATCGAGGTACCCATGTAACCTTGATGTCACACATATATATATATATATATATATATATATATATATATATATATAATTTTATATTACTACACATTAGTTGATGCTTAATGATGGACTGATTCAAAGAAAGCTTTCTTATCTCATACCACTTTATTCCACATGTTGTAACTTAGTTGGGATATTGAGAGCACAACTGAATATTAAACTATAATTTGACAATATGAAATTAATGACTCTCTTCATAGGGGTGAATTTGGTCAAATTAATCAAAGACGAAAAGGTAATAAAATGGGATGATTTGGTTTTGATATGTTCCATTTTAATGAAAAATTGAGGATCCACCATAAGCTTTATATATATATATATATATATATATAATTTCGTGTACTTCTCACTTTAGTTAGTATCCTCACTGCCCAACTTGTAGAACACTAGATCTTTTAGTATTATTTTTAATTTATTATAACTTCCTATTTTATTTTTCTTGGTAGGTAAGCTATTAGATATGGAAGATCTTATCCATTATATGCAAACTTAAATTAATGAGGACTAATGATGTTGTGCTTGAGAATCCAAAGGCTAACATCCCATTTATCTGATATTTTTCAAATTATATACAATAAATTATTAGGTAATATTAATAAGAGCATAAATTTTCTACTCTAAGAGCATCGTACCATACAACGAAAACGATTATAGTCGCTCATCATTTTTTATAACAACATCGTGTTTTGCTACAAAACCACTGTACTCAGACGAATAACGTGTAAAACAACTAGGAAGTCAATGAATTTTGGCCAGAAACTTGAAGTGATCTGCAATGAATACAGGCCAAGTGTAGATGCTCCAAGCCTCCAACTAGATTGAGACAGGGATTAAATATAATGAAATGAAACTCCTAGAATTATTTTCTGTACTATTTATGAAGGTTAGATGACCCCACTATGATGTATTCTTATGCATTAGGTTAGTTGTTGACTTTATGGGGAGAGAGAGTTTGAATTTAGAAAATAATGTGTTAAAAGATGATCAATGGTTGACCCGGTACAAAATCATTAGATTTCAAATAAATTTTACATAAGTATTATTTTGTATTTTATATAGTGTATATCTGAATTTTCTCAAATTCATAACCTATATAATAACCATATGAAGGGCTATATATATATATATATATATATATATATATACACTTTGGACAAACGCATAGAATCTCAATCAATGCTATTTTCTGTTTGTGATATGAATTTTGGAACAATACTTTCTTATATTCACATTTTCTACTTACATTTGATGTGATCCAATCTTATACCATCATTTTTAATTATTAGTTTAAAAAGTTGAAAAAAATAAATAAAGAAACCAGGTAAAATAACATTCATTTTCCTTATTTATCACTTTTATAATTTTATAATTAAAAAGTGTATGCCTTTATGACTGAACAATATATTTGAAATTATAGATCAATTGTACTCCCTATATTAGAGATCAAAGATCAATAGGGAGTATCTACTCACTCACGGATGAGTAGGTAATTATTATTGGAATGAACAAGACTTGAATACTCACCGCTGATATGGTCCAATCGCAAATGCACAAATAGTCTGTAATTACTAAATGAGGAAATTGGTAAATAAAGACGATAATTTTTTTAGAATAAATTCACACATTTCCAGATTTACTTATTTATCATTTTCCTAATTTTGTAATTACATACTATTTGTGCATTTGTAATTAGATCATATCAACGAATAGATAACTTACCGTAAATATACAGTCTTGTTCTAGAGCTTCAAAAAATAAAAAGGAATTGAAAAATAATTAAATCTCTCACGTAGGGCAAGCCAGCATTGTCCCATGAAAGAATATGAAACTGTCATATTGAATGTTCATCACTAGCTAACATGGACATGTTTTGTCATTCAATTGTCCTTCAATTTAAAGATTAAATGAACCTAATGTTTTCATCAAAATGAGGTGGCCCTCAAATGGCCCATGTTCTTTCACACACATGTGACATTCCATCAATGTGAATGGTCACTAAGGTCCAAATGGTACTCCTAGCCTAAATATCACAGATCTATTCCTCATTTCCTCTCAAGTTCAGAGAGAGAGAGTAGTTGCCTCACTCACCAAACTTGGCCATTTGGCTATTCATTTTTAAATGGCAATAATGGATGGGCATTTCAGTACCTACTCATCTTTAATGTAAGCAGTTCTCCTTTATCTTTCTCTCCCTATTATTCTAAATATATATATATATATATATATTAACACTAACTATGTATCTTATATACTGGCATATTCTTTTCCCCTTATAGTTCTATCCACCATTAATATTGTTTCTAAATATACCCACTTGTTCTTTTAATTATCCCCTCTATCTCTCTATACTGTTGATAGAGCATTGTGTTGACAAACTATAAATAAAAAGTAAAACTTTCAAGTTGAGAAAACCATAGCTGTTAGGGTGCATTAACATTGAGTGTCCTAAAAACTGGACAAAAGCTAAGCCTAGATCTGCCTGGTCTGGTTGGATGGTAATGAAAGGAAAAGAAAAGAAAGACAACGGAGGGAAATGATATTTTATGTTTGTATAAATTTTCGAAGGAAGTGAAAGGTAGTGGCGGAATTTCGAAGGATACAAATTATGAAATGGAAGGAAAGAGTAATAAATGTTAGCATGTTTAATAAAACTTTATAAATATCAAATTTGTCCTTATTTTTATAAAAGACAAAATTGGAAAAGTGCATGTTAGTAAATTCACTAAAATAGTTTCATTTCATTTCCTCTTCCAAACATGATTATTTCTTTTCTTTTACTTTATCAATAAGCCAAACACGATAAATGGTTAATAATATCTTTTCATTTCTTTTCTCTTAAAACTATTCTTACCGTTTATTTTCTTTTTCATTGAACCAAACATAACCTTACTGCTTTAATCCTCTTCGCTTTCTAGAAATACTGGGCATAATTAGGTAAGTTATAATATTTTATTATTCGCAAAAAAATACCGTACTGAACATTTTTATAATATAAAATGCACATATTAAGTTTATAAAATTAAGTAATAAATTCAAATAAGAAAAAGTAAAAGAAAAAGTTTTTTTTTTTTTTGGATGGTAAAGCAAATACACACACACTTTTATTGTCTATGCTGGGGCTCGAAACTCTTCCCTTGAAGATGGGGAGATTATACTATTGGGCCAAAGACCCTTTGGTAAAAAAAGAAAAAGTTATAGCGCACACCATCATACATAAGAGCAAAAGGAAAGAATTTTACAGTTCCTTTATACCAAGAAAATGAAAATTATGGAACCAGAAGTTGTGTAGCCCCTTTTTGAATCTCTGACCAATATCAAATGGTCATATTGCGTGTTGTCTAAATAATGAATCAAGTTTTCAAGTTGAAGCCAAAAATCACAGTAAGACTATCCCGTTTGGGTTACTGAAACAATTGTAAGGCCTAATATAATGTTAGTTCAATGATGAAAATTTGGACTATGGATTTAATCTTTTGAGATTCAGTGATGGGTCCATAAATTTTTTTTAGTGGGGAGACCTGGAATAATAATAAAATTAAAATTTTTTGAACCAAAATAATAAATACAACGATATAAATGTTGGTGGATAATATTTCATTCAATACTATTAGTTGAGGTTTCATGTTTTGAAAGCACAAGTTCTGTAAACATGTTTCTTTCTCCTTGACTTTCTCTATCTCATCGTCTTTGTGCTGAGTTTTAACATCCACATATTTTTATTATTTTGTAGGGGCACAGAAAAGTTGAGTGAGGTCAAACATTCTCTACCATTGAGATGGTAAGATGGTAGTTGGGTAGCCCGAAAATAAATATAAAATGAAAATAATATTTGATAAAAATAATTTTTTCAGAATGGAACAGGATTGTCTCAATAAACTTTAATGTATCATTATTAATCTTCAATTACCATAGAAGGTTAGATTACTTTACTTATTATACAATTAAATAATTTTCTGTCACCAATAATTGATTTGATTGCTAGATGGAGGTCCATAATCTTTGATTTTCAAAGAACTATATTACGTGCCTCCAGATCTTCACTCTTATCTCCGAGTAAGAAATTGACAGGCAGTGCGAGGTGTGGCTTTGTAGGATATACAATTAGATCAAAAACTATTTGAACTACTCAATACAATAATTCATCAATATTATATG